CGTCTTGACGAAGACGATCATGATGCGTCGAAGGTATGTGCCTAAACACTTTCTTCATGAATTGCAATATAGATTTCGTAACATAGTGCAAGGAAGCAAGACGATCGAGGAATACTACGAAGAATTTGAACACCTTCGCACATGCTTTTTCGGACCTTGGTTGCATACGTTCTTCTTCAAGACGGTTTGTACGTGTGTGTCTTATGTTGCCTTTTGGACAATGAATACAACAAGCTCGAAACCAAGGGACACTTGGAGACTCACTAAGGTATTCCTATGGTTAGATTTCAAGAGGATATCCAGGCCAAAGGGCACTCGGAGTCCTTAGAAATCAACACACAAGTCGGACTAAAACAGAGCACTCGAGAGCACTCGGTTTAGGTGATAGATGGAAGGGAAGTTCCAGGCCAAAGGGCATTCGGATGATTCCCAATTTTTGATGGAAGATAGTGGTATGAAAGAGGATTCAAAGGAGCTAAACCAATCTTGAATCCACCACGGTTTGACCTTGCACAAGGGTGACACACACACACATGCGCAGAAGGCGATATCTCAGACACACCAAGAAGAAGAAGCAAATATGCAACTCGATTTTTATCAATTCAAAGTCTCCTCATTCTTGACATATAAGGGCCTCTAAATAGGCTTGAAACACAGAAGAAAGCAAGGAAAATCCGTGCATAAGGAGGAGCTAACAAAACATTAAAGAAAGATAATGGAAAACAAGACACCATAAAGTAAGGAAAAAGTGGAAAGTTGGTGTAAGTGGAAGGCCAACGTCTTGCAACGGCTAGGAGGCTTAAAGAAGGTCTTCATGAGGTTGAAATAATGTAGAAAACATCCCCAATTCGTGCTTGATAAAGGTGGGCCGAAATTGGGTTCAAAGGTGGCACCATATCCTCTCCAATGGGTTGGTATCTTCTTGGACTTGTGTAGAATATGTTTGTGCTCTTTGGGCTTGGATCTTCAGCCCATTTATTGAGAATACATTCTTCAAATATCTTCTTAGTAGCTCAGGTGTTAGTCCACAAAATCTTAAGTGTTGGACAACACAAACTCCAAGACATTGCGATGTTTTGTGCTTGTTGCCGCTATCGTGTCCTTTGCATTGTATGACCCCTTGTCGGATGTTTTGATCAGCCATTCTTCAACATATGCATTGATATTTGAACGTAGACTTTGAGTCATTCATCTTGTAAGTGAAGGTGTAGGAATGGTTGGCATGATATGCTCGGTGTTCACTTCTTCTCCTCCTATAGCATTGACGATATCGTCTTGCTTCTCATTCGAGTTTTGTTTGTTATCGTCCATGTTGATGTTGGAGGATTTCTGGGCTGCATCAGTTTAGATCAGGGCAGGTCTGTAGGGGTTGGTTCTAGGCATTTATAGGGTCTGATCAGAGAGAAATTAGGCCTTATTAGGCTTAGTTTAGGTCTGATTAGGGTACTAAAAGTCTAATCAGGGGTTGGTAAGTCAATAGGGTTGGCTTAGGATTGTTGATTAGGACTTTTAGGTGACTAACTAGGACTTAGGTTAACTAATCAGGGGTTGGTTAGGTTAATTAGGATTGACTTAGGTCTGATTAGGTTTTCTACTCTAGTTTGAGCTTTTGGTGGTCTAACTAGGGCTGTTAGGGTCTAGATAGCACTTGGGTAGGTCTGATTAGGACTTTGTGAGGGGCCGGGTAGACTCGGGATCGTAGGACTGGTTAGGACTTTGTTGGGGGCCATGTAGACTCAGTGTTGTAGATCTGATTAGACGTAATCAGGTCTGGTTAGACGTAATCATGTCTTAAGGTAGACTGTGTTTTGAGTTTAATAGGTCGGTTAGGTAAAATTATGCCTAGGATAAGTCCAATCAGGTTTGTACGAGAGTCTAAGAGGTCGGTTAGGTAGAAATATACCTAGGGTTAAGTCAAATCAGGTCTGGTCTAGAGTGTATTAGACCCGTTGAAGTAAGTTGTACCTAGGGTGATGTCCAGTTAGACTTGGTTTAGAGTCCGTTAGATCAGGTTTAGGTTGAGTACCTAGGTTAAGTCCGGTCAGGTCGTGTTCTCTTAGTCTAGTAGGTCTGATTAGGTAGAGACATACCTAGGTTTATGACCGATAGACTAGGGTTAGAGCGTGTCAAGCACGGCTAGGTAGAAATATACCTAGGGTAGGTCTTATAGGCTGATTTTTTAGAGATCATTAGGTCTGTCTAGGTAGAAATATACCTAGGGTCAAGTCCTCTAGGATTCGGTCTCTTCCCTTAGGTCATGGTTTAGTCACTCCTAAGGTTAGTTGAGTCACTTCCGGGTAGAGTTCTTTTAGACTCAGGTTATATCATCCTAGGATACTTCTAGTGTTACCAGTTAGTCCTCGGGTAGTAGACACAGTAAGGGAAACCGAGGTTATGGGAGGCCATACGATTCTTTTCCCTTGGTCAATAGGGCCAAAGGTTTAGGCATCGGGTGCTCCGGGTCTCAAATAGAGACAAATAAGGAGTCAAGTGCTAGGAACCTCATGTTCTTGTAATCCTCTCTAGTAGGATGTGCCTTGTAGTGGGGTCTCGGATGTAAATCCGAACCTAGGTGTCGGTAGAGGAAGAAAAGGGTAGCGGTTAGGATGATGGAGTTAGATTTTCTAACTCGGAATACCTTGAAATGGGTATGGTGGAAGGACTAGGGGTCTCGGGCAAACCCGAGAAATCGGGTGCAGGAGAATGCCAAGGACCGAGGTGGAGTGATTAGTTCTGCGGGTAGGTAGGGACACTACAAGAAGGAGTTGTAGGTCCCGGATGACGAGGAAAAGAGAGTTCGAGGTAGAAAGACATATGACCTTGGAGGAGTAAACCGAAGCTGCTTCGGTTCTCGGTGGTAGGTCAGGAGGTGAGGTCTCCACATTTAGGTGGAGCTTCCTCGGGTAGGATGCTCAGGAGATGGTGTGAGCTGGGAGGTGTCGGGTCACCGGGTAGAGTCGGTGTAGGTTGGAGCGCTAGGACACTCCCTCTCGAGGTGGAGCACGTGCACTCACGTGTCTCATTCTCGGTGGAGCATTCATAGGTGAATAGGATCGTCTTCATAGGACAAAACCGTAGGACAATTCTAGTTGGCAGGTTAGGGTCCGTGGGTAGAAGTCACTAACTCATAGGTGGTGTAAACTCTACGGGGATCCAGGGCTAGGTAGTCTAGCAGGTTCGATAGTATGACTCAGGTTAGTCTCGGGGTAGTCGGGTTAGACTCGGGAGACGGGTAGATATTGGGGTTAACTCTCGAGGTTGCACAAGTGAAGTTTTAGACTTCATCGGAGAGAGTTATGTAGACGGTCTAGAGAGTCATAACTAGTCGAGGTCTTAGCTAGTCTTCGGAAAACGGAAGGTGTCGGAGATACTCGTTTTGGGTAGACTAGGATTTGCGTGTTTATTTGTTTATCACGCTGAGACGTACTTATGGTACGCTTGGTAAGAACTCTATTAGAACGACACGTTTGATACATCTAGGATGTGTCGGGAGGTAGAGTTACTAATGGAAGTAAAAGGGAAGCGACAACGTGTTAGGGTTGTTGGCGTGGTTTCTTCGGTGTTTTCCCGTTTTGCAGGTTTTTGCAGGGATTTGCTGAAGAAGGTGGAAATTTGTGGAGAATGTCTTCAGCGAAACCCGCTACTTCGGCCAGAAGGTTTGAAAGATTCCGGATGAAGCAGAAGCTCTTAGGGGCAAAAGGGTAACTTTGTACGGTCGAGTTTATTGACCGAAGGGTTAGGGTTTTCATTGTGTGCGTTTTTTCGGTTCTTTCTTCTTTTCTCTCTGACGGAGGCGATCCTTCGCTCCTTGTATCGGAATCGATCTCCGATCGACTTTGCGGTGTGTTTATCGGTTGTAACCCTAGCTACGAACGCGGCTTCCTCTTCCCGAGACGTAGGCACCGAGATTTTATCTCGGCTGCTGAACTCGTATCTCGGTTGTCTCTTGCGTTCTTTCGCCTGGTTCACACGAGGGTAGATCGGAGAGGTTACGGTGAGGGATCGAGGTCAAGATCCACTACATATATACAAAAAATATATTCACAAATATGTTTAAAAGTTAAAATTTAAATGGCAATTTTGTATTGTTTGGATAAGCGCGAGTACTTACGAGACAATATTAATTATTGGAATCCGAATCCAAAAATTCGAGTATTCTAATGTTATTATCCGATCTCGTATATTATTTGTTCGGATACACAAAATTTTGAGTATTTGACCCGCGGGTCGAGTTAGATCGGATACACGAAATTCGGATTTTTTTCACCCCTATTGCTTATGAAATAATACGTACAAACCCATGCCAAATACTAGCATAACCTTTCCCCGGGAGATAAACATTGACACAAATTTCCAGTATGAGCACGTGCTGCTTCACTGATTATAACATCAAGTTCCAAATCCATAAATCAGCATATCATCTTACCTGTGTTCACTCGGTCCGATTACTCCAACAAATTACAAGGAAATCGATTCAAGATCTATTGGGCAAGATTTTCTAGGATTTAACTATGGCTTCAACCGGTCGAAGAACCATTTGGCAAGAGTGAATTCCTACGGAGCATGTGAATATATATGTACATCAAATACACCAAGTAATCATACACTGAAATCAGTTGACCTTTTTCTTTTTAATCTTTGAGATTTGGCAAATAATGTTCTCATTCTTGGGAGATAAAGATACTCGAGTTATAAATAATATGAGGATTATTAGAATTAGAAAGATTATTGAAGAGATCACAGCCAATGGCAAGATTCTCAGAGTTTTAAAAGGATCGGCAGCACTGAAGTTTCTAATTGGATCAGACCCTTTCACAGAGAGCCACAAGCCTAATTGAAGTCGAAGCAAGAAAAAGTTTAAAACTTTATAAAATTCGAGGCTTCTTTTATACAGGAGAATCATCCAATCTGATTATTTCTCCATTGGACGTCTCCGAATTCTGTGAATACAAAGTTTGCGGGGGCCTTGTTATGTAAATTAAGGTTTGTGGGGGCCTTGTTATGCAAAAAAAAAAAAAAAATGGAAGGCATCCTCGTTAGAAGAAGTGATGGTTCTGCTCTTCACTCGATTACCATCTTGAAAGGATCAAAGAAACATGCATCCCATCTATTTCAATTTCAGTTTGCTGTTGGGTTTGTTGATTCTTTCAGTTCCATCACTACGAACTCAATCTTCTACACTCTTGTCCGAACAACATCGTACAATCGAGGGTTTAGTCAAGCGTTTGGATTCCGTACGACTATCTCCTTCCGCACAAGAATCAGCTGCACGGGGTGTATTGCAGAGATTGATTCCCACCCATTTTCACAGCTTTGATTTCGAGATCGTCTCAAAGGTTCTGCCTTTTTCATTCTTCTCATTGTTCTTCGATTGATTCGATTTCTGGCTCTTCTGTATGTCTGGTTGCTGAGGAAGTGGTGGGAAAACTAATTTATTACTGCCCAAATCTCCCAGAGAGAGAATCAATTTTTGCATGAGGGCATACCCTTCTAGTCTTTTTTCTTCCTGTTTTTATTTTATGCTTCTGTGTTTTATATTCCTAATTGATCTTGGTGGATATTTTACCTGTTTGGGAACTGAGTTTAGTTTTATGGAATTCTTGAGCTGAGCTCATTTGGATATCGTCATGGGATTTATGTTTCTGTAAATTATATAAGCCATGTTGTTCAAGACTCCTTTGTTGCTCAGATCAAATACGGCATTCAGTTGTCTGAATTCTCTGATTGAGTTTTACTTTACATTCTTGACCATGTTTATGATTAGGATGTTTGTGGTGGAAACAGCTGCTTCTTGATAGAAAATCACAATTCACGAAGCCGAAATGGACCTGAAATTGTGTACGTCGGCTCTGATTCTTGATCAAGTTTCGATTTTTCGACCCTTCTCTATTATTTAGAATCTGATACGACGGAGCCATTTCTCTGTTCTTCGCTTATATGTCAAGGATCAAAGGTACTACAGGAGTGGAGATTGCTTCAGGGCTCCATTGGTACTTGAAGTATGCATGTGATGCTCATATTTCTTGGGACAAGACTGGTGGCATCCAAATTGCTTCAATTCCTCGGCCGGGGCATCTTCCTCGTTTAGCTTCTGACCGCATCTTGATCCGACGCCCTGTCCCTTGGAACTATTATCAAAATGTCGTTACATCGAGCTGTAAGACCTTTATGTAACGTAATGGTGCTATCACTGGTATGCTGAATCATATAAATGATTCCCACAAACCCATTATGCAAATTTGCTTTATCACATTATTTACTTGCAGATTCTTATGCTTGGTGGGAATGGAAAAGATGGGAGAAAGAAATTGACTGGATGGCTCTGCAAGGTGTTAACTTGCCCCTTGCATTCACTGGGCAGGAAGCTATTTGGCAAAAGGTTTTCATGGTATAAAGTTCCTATTTTTTGCCAAATATTAAGACGAAAAATTTAGTAGTTCATAAACTTTGATGACAAGTTGTTTTGTATAGAAATTTCTCAGTTCTTGTCTTTTGTATGGTGTTTAAGTAATGAAGGTCTATGTGAATTGCTCTTTAGGCATTTAACATCACCAAAGAAGATCTGGATGATTTTTTCGGTGGACCGGCTTTTCTTGCTTGGGCTCGCATGGGAAATCTTCATAGGCTGATCTCTGATATTCTCTTATGCGGCTTCTCTTTCATTCTTGGAAACCATCTTTGTATTTTCAATGTTAATATGTCCGGTTCTGTCACAGGTGGGGCGGTCCACTGTCACAGAATTGGTTGGATAATCAGTTGCTTTTGCAGAAACGGATACTTTCTCGTATGCTAGAGCTTGGCATGACTCCAGGTATCGGAACCAGTCACATCATTTTACAGTTTCTGATTCTTGATTATGCATATTACAGAGATTTGTTCTTCTAATTCCTCTTTTTTTTTTCTAGTTCTTCCCTCATTCTCGGGCAATGTTCCAGCGGCTTTGACAAAGATATATCCCTCGGCAAATATAACTCGGCTGGGTGACTGGTATTTCATGCCCTTCATTAAGCTTTTGCTTGATAAGATTGTTCACTCAAAGATGATAATTATACATTATGGATGTCTTGTCTTAAAATCAACGTTGAATTCCGGGATTTTGCTATCCATTTCTTTTCAGGAACACGGTGGGTGGAAATCCTCGGTGGTGCTGTACTTATCTCCTGAATCCTTCTGATCCTCTCTTCATCGATATTGGAGAGGCTTTCATTAAGCAACAGATAGAAGGTGTGTTTATTCTCCCTCGATTTCTACGTGGAGCCGTTCTCTGCTTCTTAACCATACAATACATGTTGTGGAACCGGACATATATATTTTTAAAATACATTCGTTAGTCTTACCGTTTGTATTTGTTTCAGAATATGGAGACGTAACAGACATCTATAACTGGTAAAGATTCTCCATTTCATACGCGAAAGAAGTAAATTTCTTATATGTGTTTGTGCCCTTCAACAAAACTATACGACTCGGCGAGAAAACATGAGGATATTATTATGCTTTCCTCCACGATCTTTATTTACTCGGCTCTTGACCATATTTGTTACAATGTGCAGTGATACATTCAACGAGAATACTCCGCCCACAAGCGATACTGAATATATATCCTCACTAGGAGCTGCAGTGTACAAAGCTATGTCCAAAGGTGACAAAGATGCTGTCTGGTTAATGCAAGTATGCCTTTTTCTATTCCATTTACATTCTGTTTTCCCCGACATCTTCATTGAATGAATGTATACTTACTTGATATTTGCTCTTGGGACTTGACTAGACTGATTACATTTCGGTAAAAACAGTTCTTACCTTCGGGATTTTGGAATTAGAATAAGCATGAATCAACTGGAAGTTCTCCATTGCTTGCAGGGTTGGCTTTTTTACTCCGACGCGGGATTTTGGAAGCCGCCTCAGATGAAAGTAATTCCCTAAACTTGTTCATGTAGTGGTACAATGTTTTTTTTTTCGTGAGAGAGTATATAATCTTGCCCTCACAAGGCTGGACCCACACGTCTCATTGAAGTTTCTTGTCATGTGTTATGAAATTGCACTTTCTTCATTCTCTTGCCGTCTGGCAGGCACTCTTACATTCCGTTCCTTTCGGGAGAATGATAGTTCTCGATCTATTCGCCGAGGTTAAACCAATATGGAACACTTCTTCCCATTTTTTTGGAACTCCTTACATCTGGTAACTACCTGTGTAATTGGTTTGCATCCAATTTATCTGTTTACATATCTGGTAACTGTGTGTTATTCACTGAAACTAGATGTATCACAGGTGTATGCTTCACAATTTCGGAGGCAACATCGAAATGTACGGTACTCTAGATTCGATATCTTCGGGGCCTGTTGATGCTCGTCTTAGCAGAAACTCAACCATGGTAATCTCCGGTCCGATTTCACAAACGTAGCCCCATTAACGAATGATTTTTCCCAAACCTCGTATCGATTTATATATATGTACGCATGTACATATGTATGTGTGTATGTATGTGTGTGTGGTCCTTGTAGGTTGGTGTTGGGATGTGTATGGAAGGGATAGAGCAGAACCCGATTGTTTATGAGCTAATGTCGGAAATGGCATTTAGAGAAAAGAAAATTCGTGTTCAGGTGATGAACGATAAAAACCCGATCTTGATTTGATGTGTGAAGTGTTTTCGGCTTCTTGATCGTGTTTTATACTCTTCATGTTTCATAGGAATGGTTGAAGACTTATACCCGAAGAAGATACGGGAAAGCGAATAATCGAACTGAGGCAGCTTGGGAAATTCTCTATCACACTGTCTACAATTGCACCGATGGAATTGCTGTACGTTTTTTCTTTCGTGCAAAAAAATGTTATCTTTTTCTCGGGTCTGGTCTTTAATGAGATCTGTTCCTAATTTTTTTTTTGGCGATGTTTAAAGGATCATAACACAGATTTCATAGTCAAGCTTCCAGATTGGAATCCGTCAATTCGTGAACGAGATGAATCGGAAGAAAAATCAGATTCAGACACGCTTCTCGCACTGCATGGAACAAGAAGAAGATTCTTGATTCAAGATTCGAACTCCAATTTGCCTCGAGCCCATCTGTGGTATTCCAACGAGGAAGTGGTCGAAGCCCTCCGGATTTTCCTACAAGCCGGAGATGATCTTTCTGGGAGCTTTACATATAGGTAAAATAATTCAGATAATGGATAAGGTTCGTACCGTTATTACAGATAACGTTACATTCGAGTTCTGTTGCGGTTTCACAGGTACGACCTGACTGATTTGATGCGACAAGTTCTATCGAAGCTAGCAAACCAAGTCTACATCGATGCTGTGACCGCTTTCCGGGAGAGAAACACTGAAAACTTAAAACGATTCAGTGAGAAATTCCTTGACCTTATAAAAGATATCGATGTTCTCCTCGCTTCAAACGATAATTTCCTTCTCGGGACATGGCTTGCAAGCGCAAAGAAGCTCGCGGTAAACCATAACGAACGGGAACAGGTAATAACATTTTCAACGTTTTTGCTTATGAGACATTAATTAAAACCTCAAGTCATCGAATTCAATGATTTCTTAGCGGAGTTTTTCCTTTTTTGTTGAAGTATGAATGGAATGCCAGAACGCAAGTGACGATGTGGTACGACACGAAGGACGCGAACCAAAGCAAGCTTCATGATTACGGTAAGAACAAAAAAAAACTCGCAGCAATTTTACATTGTTTAAGCTAAAAAAAGATCGAAAGAATTTCCGATTGTGATCAGCGAACAAGTATTGGAGCGGGTTACTTGAAGATTACTACTTGCCTCGGGCGGAAACATACTTCGGTTTCCTCGTGAATAGCTTGCTAGAGAAGAAGCAGAGGCTCGAGCTCGAGCTCGAGAGCTGGCGAAGAGGATGGATAGCGATTTCGAACGAATGGCAACGAAGCTCGAAGCTTTATCCCGTGACTGCCCGAGGAGAGACGTTGGCCATTTCGAAACGTCTCTTCCGAAAATACTTCGCTTAACGCGTGAAAACGAAGGCTTGAATTAGGGGTGGTCAATTCAATTAATACTTAATAATTTGAATAGACGAACAAATCTAGAAAACACATGATTATAATCGATCCGAATCCGATATAAATAATGAACGACTAGGCTTTCTCTGAAAAACGACAAAACTGAAATCGAATCAAATAAAAAATCGAAAAAATCAAAATTTTGTTTGAAAAATGTGTATTTTTATCGGTAAAAAGCGAATGATTATAGTTTTTCTAAAATAAAATAAATAAACCTGAATATAATTCGGTTATAATTTTATTAATCAAACCGAAGTTATCAAATTAAGATCTTTAGTTTGTTCAATGGATTAAACCACAAAATCTATTTAACTAAAACAATCGAAGAATTATTTAACCTATCTAACTCTGTTTAACTAAATATGGAATATTTAGACAAAAGTAATAAACCAATTCCGATTTAAACGATTCGTTTATATATGATTATATCTTTCTTTTTCTTGTTAAAGTATGATTATATCTTTTGTTGCTTATTTCATATTTATATTAAATATTTGTTACACTTATTTTTCTATATCAAATAATCCAGATTATCTGTGTATTTCGATATTATTTTTTTCCAGATAATCAGATTACCAGTATCACACTTCACTCTAAAAATGTGAAATGTAAAAACATACAGATTTATAAGATATATATATATATATATATATATATTACATATATCTGTAAGCAATAATAAAGTTATGAAAACTACAAGGAAAGGGTTCAGGCGCCATTTCTCCCACAGAAACAGGACATGCTCCACTCCCAAGATTTGTTCCCATGACGAGATTTGATCATGGCAACGGCTAAGCACGAGAGCTATTAACGAGACCAACCTCTCTCCACAATCAAGGAATTCGAAGAGAAATTTTCAATCGTTTTCACTTCAACGCCATTCTTACCCAGAGAAACTGGTCATGCTCCACCTTCTCCTTCGATGGGTCATTCAAGTACAAATCCATCCGTCACCTCCACCGGCCTCGCCAAACCGCTTCCGCCGACTAGCTTCGTCTCGTCCGCCGCGACGAGTTCCAGATTCGGATCGGCGCCATCAATGGCGACGACGTCGGAGAGCTCGCCGGAGCTGAGGTTTAATGGATTCGACTGCCTTCTCTGGTGCGAGCTGTGGATTGGGCTCTGATAGAGAAGGAAACGGTGGATCTCTGGAGGAGGAGACGAATGAGAATGATAATAATAAAATAAAATGGGGATTTGGCAGAAAGAAAAGGACCGTTCTATCTCGATTTTTTATTAACCAATAATTAGGAAAATGGAAATTTGAAATAACAGAGAAAAATAGAACTAATTATATAATATAATTAACACAACGGAAAAACATTAAACGTTCGCAAAATTTAAAATTTGAAATGACAAAGAAAAATTGAAATTCGAACTAACAAAGAGAAACGGAAACGTATAAATTCAGGATCGAAGCAGCTAACGTTCACATTTCTCTCTCTCTCTCTTGCTCTCTCTCTGGCTCCCGCTCTCGCTCTCGCTCTCGCTCTCGCTCTCGCTCTCGCTCTCGCTCTCGCTCTCGCTCTCGCTCTTGCTCTCGCTCTTGCTCCTGCTCTTGCTCTTCTTCCTGAATTCTCTGTTGTTGTTGATAATCTGTTTTCTTGTTTGATTTCGGAGACGAATCACAGAATGCCCAGGACTTCCAGGATACGACGCGTACTCTCCCGAGGATGTCCGAAAACTCTTCCTGTCTTCCGAGACAGATCTTCGGAAGAACTCCGATCTGCTGCACCTCGTCACAGATTTCTTCAACAGCAACACCGAGCTATCTCTTCTCTGCGAATCTCTCAAGAAATGCCTAGAAAAAGCTGATCTTGGAGAAACCCTAGTTCGTGAAACTTTGTCCGGCTTCAAGGAGGAAAGAGGAGAGAAAGGGATTCTCAGTAAAACTCTCCAGAATATCAGGAGTTTCAAAGATTTCTCCAGCGACGACCCATTCGCAGGAGAATTCACCAAACTTTTCAAGAGCTGCCACGGCGATCTCGTCAAGGTGATCGGAAAACTGACCCAGACGACGAAGAAGCTCAACAGGAAACTCCGGAGAATAAGCCTGCGCCGGAGAGTTTCGATCACGCTGTTAATCGCGGCCGTCGCCACCGTGGTCATCTCCGCGGTCGTCATCGGTGTAACAGTGGCTCCGCCGGTGTTTGCGGCGTTGGGTGCGGTCGTGTCGTTCGTGCCGATGGGTCCTCTGGGTCTCTTCATCTCCTCCGTGTGGAAGAAATCGCGGGACGCTCTGAAACGCCAAAAGGCAGCGATTGATTCGATAGAAAGAGGGACATTTCTTGCTTTGAGTGAAGTGGCGAAAATCAAGGTGTTGGTGAATCAGTTTGAGGAGGTGATGAAATCGATGGAGGAATCGCTGTTGAAATTGGAAGTGGGAGAGGTGGAGAAGGAGATCCTCACGTACAGAAACGTCATCAGCGTTCTGCGACACGAAGGCCAGCGGTGCGATCAGGACGCGCGTTTGAGCCGAGACGTTGCTCGAGACAGGATCAGCAAATGTCTCTGTGATGAATGAATTTTTTGTATCCGATTGGACATATAACATACTTGTACATACTTTTGCTTTCTTTCTTTTCTTACTTGGACAAGTGTAAATAAACATATCATTCGTTCATTCATTTTCACAGCTTAGATATGAGCTTGCCTCTTGGTTGGACGAGTCAGGAGCTGTAGCATCTTCATTGTCCCGTCAGCAAATGTCTCTGTGATGAATGAATTTTTTGTATCCGATTGGACATATAACATACTTGTACATACTTTTGCTTTCTTTCTTTTCTTACTTGGACAAGTGTAAATAAACATATCATTCGTTCATTCATTTTCACAGCTTAGATATGAGCTTGCCTCTTGGTTGGACGAGTCAGGAGCTGTAGCATCTTCATTGTCCCGTATCAATCGTCTTGTTATCGAATTACAACGACTTAAATTCAGATATGAATGATATTGATGCATACTAATTCTTTATAAAACTTGATTTAAAATGAACAAAACTAATGATGGTCATTGGAGGATCCTGGATCCACCCATACATGCGTACAAAAATACTATAATATAATATATATTCATAGAGGCAAAGAGATCTTCAAAGGGTCACAAATCCGATTCACAAAATCTTATCCGACAACCCAAAGGGAACACTCTGGGCACGTGACGCACGTGATGTGACACAAGACATCCAACCCGAACGGAACAGGAGAATCAACCATAATGTCGGATCTGAAGCACAATGACAAAAAAAAATCCAGCTACGAATTTTTTTCAAGGAAAAGAAAACGAAGAAAAAGAAGAGCATAGGCTGATTATGTTGCGAATCCGCCCGTCTTTTTGCTCTTCACTCTGGTTTACGAGCCAAGAAGAAATACATAGGCGTGAAGATCTCTCTCCTGCAAAAACCAAAAAATGTATAAAATAAAACAAGAATATACCAACTGCGCATTTAAGAATCTTAAAGATTCTGATATGAATCTGAAAGCCTTTATCCACAAGAGGACCAGATTATATGAAGCAATCTCTCTCACCTTCCACCGTCGACTAATCCTTCGGCGGCCTTCTCTAAGAACTCTGAAACCCTTTGGCTTCCTTTCGGGGCGAATCCCACATATTCCAAGGCCTTAACCTGAATTCGTAGCGTAATATCCGAGATTCTCGATCAACGATACGATAGGCTAAGTATCAGACTGATGCAGCATAACAGAGCGGAAAAACGTTACCATGTTCCTGGTGATGAATCGTCCAACAGCAGTTAGTCGGAAGCTGCTAAGCGAGAAATGGTTTTTGTCAAGAGGTAAGTACCATGGAACAGGGGAATCCTTTGCGAGATCTCTTTCCCACATGACCTTTTCTCGAACAGAAGAGGAAATAAAACTTAGATGTTGGATGAGTTTCGGTGAATGCATAACGTAAAAGACGGTCTAGAATCCGAGAGCTTACTTCAAAACCCGCTTGCTTCAAAGCTTCAAGACATTTGGTAGTTAGCCTTATGTCTGGAAGACCATCTCCAACCTCTATCTCTGCCTGCATAAATCAAATCTCCGTTAACGTAAAAAATGTCGGTCTTTTTCAATAAAGGTAGAAGAAAGGCGATATCTACGGATTTGCAAGGGAGATTAAGATTAAAACCTTTATCTTCTGATGCTCTTGGTTATTGGGGTCGAATGCACCAGTCATGCACCACTCGTAAGCAGCAAAACACTGTCCAGGCTTTAACACTCTGTATATCTCTTTGTAGCATCCATACTGTTTGAGAGAACACAGCTAGAAATCAGAACACGTCGAAGAAATCGAGAAGAAGAACGGCTTTTCAAAAATTCACATACCGCATCAGGTGCATGGCAAGTTGCTTCTATTGCGTAAACTGCATCGAAACTGTTTTCAGGGAATGGCATGTTCATGAAGTCAGCCTGCAACATTAATTAACAATATGATCATCAATCAACCATAAAGCCTTGCATTGACCAATCCCTTTTCTTGAACTCAAGTCTTACACGGTAAGCAGTTCATAGAAAAGTAGCAATTCAACTTACCTTAACAAAGCTACATATCTCGTCTACACCTGCAAGCCGGTTTAGTTCCTGCAAAACAGCGAACACTTGCATGAATAATGTCCAGGGGTTAACTCATAAAGGCAGCATTTTAAAGGGTCACAAGAAAATGCAGTCTCTGTTTGAAACCAAATAACTAAAAAAAGGGAAAGAAAGAGGGAATATATGGATTACTTCCAAGCAATGGAAGCGAGCAATATGAACTTTTTCCCAGATATAGATTACCTACCTTGCCTCTTGTGATCTGATATTCGTTATTGTTCACACCGGTAACAGATACATGGCTGTAACAGAGCAGAAAGTATCAATATTTCTTCTTTCCCCTAGGGAAAAACTTAACAAAAATAGGTGTATGAAATCTATGCGAAAATTGATAAAAGGCAGAAGCATTGGAGTGAACAAAATAGAAAAAAAAAATCAAGAATCTGTGGGTTTAGCACCAAATCAATCACCTGAATCGAGAAATTTCTCTCAATGGTCCACCAATTCCACATCCAACATCCAGCACCTATTATGGAAAACAAAAAACTTGGTCGATTAATCAGATTTAAACATCAACTGATGAATGAACCATTTTCCCGAGCTCCACGAAGGTAACAAAAACCTTTTGCCCTGGTTTGAGGCCTAGTTGCAGGGAAAGGAAGTGCTCATGTCGCTTGATGCTCTCCCGGAGAGACTCTCCTTTCCATCTACAAACCCAAAATCCATGTCACTCAGTGTCTTTAAAGGATCAACATAATTTCCAGGAAGAAAAGGAAAGGCGGTTGTGCAAATGGCAGATTCTCTAACGTAGGTTCCCATTGCCCTTTTTTACAATTTTGAAAGGCAAGAATTACCTATGTGCAAAATGGAAGGATTCTCCCCAGCCATACTCATAAAAGCTGGTAGCAAGATCATAGTATTTATTAACCTGAAATAAGAATTCAAGAAAACATAAAGCTTTTACCATGAACGTTAGGATTATTCGTTTCAACAACCAGAACATTTTGTATACAACTACTTCTACGAGAAAGCGGTAATTAACTTAGAGTAATACTGTGGCTTAACGATCTGGCTCATTGGTTGCGCTCGCATTGAGCAGCGTAGCCTAACGTGAGATCGAATATAGTCACACACATGTCCGAGAAACTCCGTACAGGTCACTCTTAACATGAGGAATTATAAAATACCTTTATTTCAACCAAAGAAAACTCTGTGTAATACCTTTTTTATAGCAATGCTTGTTGAACATAGTCAAATTCAAAGTAAAGTGCTTTTAAGTATGTGTGCACTGAGACATATACATTCATGAGAATGGAAAATGAAAAGAAACAAAATGCAGTCACGATAATTTTTGAAGTGCCACATTCAATGAGGTTAAGTCCAGAAAAGTGTATAGTTTCAACGTCAAATGAACAATAGTGATTAGGAGCTGTGGGCAAAAACATGATCAAGTACACGTCTCAAGGTATGCATAGATCATGGTAGGAAAATGTCCTAGTCCTACATGTCCCACAGTTGCCTTGTAAGAATATTGTCTACTAACCATGTCAGTATAATTTGACTTCCTCTCTTCCTCTTCTCCTCCATGGAAGACATGATACTTCTCATACCTGAATCATTGAGATTACACTCTTTTTCAATTTGAACCAAAAAAAGAATTTATTAAAGCCAAAAATTTATATTGAAGGAAAACAGGACATAACAAAAACCCTACATAAGCCCCAAAAAAAAAAACATTCCAAATGCCGCAGCCATTTCAATCAACATCGTATTGCTTACTTTTCAATCAACATCACATTGCTTACTTCCCAATCATCAATCACACCATCAATTTTCCACGATTATTTAATGGCGTCTAGATCCAATAAGTATATGTGCATGAATACATCAAACAAGAGCAGAAATTTCAAAACACCCAAGAATTATGCACATAACCCAGAATTTGTACTTCAACAAAATCTATAAAAGATAAGACCAAACAAAAAAAAAACACAAAGTTGACATACTTGCATAAGGATCTAGTGGAAAGAAACAAGCGGGGGTCCCTTGATCCCGTGACTTTAGTGAAATAAACGTCAAAATCGTCTTTACAACACCACAAGCACTACACCAAAGGGACCACTTCGACCCATTTCCCGATTGCAAATGCTCTTGTATTGAAAGCTCTGCCGCGTGAACCATAAATTTCTAAAATTTGGAATGGGTTCCAAAAGTATCGTTTTCCTTGTGCAGTAGTAGGTGATGAAATAAGGAGTATGAATTGACTTAAGATTTTATTTGGGAAAATAAAAGTTTAAAAGGACGATTCAAAAATGGGAAAGTCGATCCACGTGATATTCAATCCGAGATACGAAGAAAGGAGAAACCCATGAAATGGTTCTCGAATATTAAAAAAGGCTCAAAGTGATACACGTTACCAAGATTCGATAAAAAGGTGATGAACATATGCATGTGGAGATAACGCGATTCTCAGGAGAATCACAGAACGAATCTACGATCAGGAACGCATTTCGATCTAAAATAGCAAGAGAAAAACGCTAAAAAAAAAGGAAACTAAAGATGAAATTTACTTTTCCACGGCAGAGAGAACATCGGTTTTATCGATCTTGCCACCGAGTCCAGACGCGAGATCCAAGGCACCGGACTTCGACATTATGGCTGATCAGGAAAAAAAAACTCGAGACTCGAGATCTGAAACTGCGTAAACAGGAAAAAAATCGTCGGAGAAATGAATCGAGAACGAAAGAGAAATGTGGAATCAGAGAGAGAGAGAAGCCATTACGGCGTGGAACGCAGACTTACCAGAATTTTCCGGCGGAGAAATCTATAACCTTCGGCGGAGGAGGAGGAGGAGTGGATGGTAACCAAGAGGAGCGAGAGTCAAAATATAAAGGAGGAAGACGACAATAAAAAAAACAAAGGCAATGACAGCGAGCACGTGACTGAATTACCATAATGCCCTTATGCCACAGTTGGATTATATACCATATAAGCCAATTTACAAAAATGCACCTTGACTTGTGAAACGGTGGAAAGCGTCCTCCATGGATGGATTTTTCGGGTAGAAGTTGAAACCAATCAAATTTCGCAGTAAAAATGAGGGAGATGATTGGTGTGTTCCATTGTGATCCAGTCAAAGATGGTCCCGTGGCGGATGAACCTTTCGTCTAATGGAGGCGGCGTTGCCTTGAAGCTGAATCGTTCAAAGCAAAGCGATCGTGAGGTGGGCGCCGGTGCAGCACTCGCGAGTTTCGGGTACTCGTCCGGCGGTTTTTTCCGGTTTCAATTCCAATTTGGTTCGGTTATATTCGAATTCATTTATTTTGATTTTAGAAAATTGTGACCATTCGGTTATTAAATTGAATTCGGTTCGAGTTCGATCTTTATTAAAAAAATCAGTTTTTTCGATTATTTTCTTTATTCAGTTAGAATTCGATTTTTTAGCTTTTAAAAAAGTCATAAATATTCGATTTTTATCTGATTCGGTTCGGTTATAATTACGTGTTATTTATTCTTTCGGTTTTCCTCGAATTGTAACTATTTCAAACTCGCGTGTTCTTTCAAAACCTTGACAATAAGGTTTCCGAAGTTTTCTCGTCAGCTCGACCCGTCCTCCCTCTTCTCGGGGTCTAGTGATTGTCCGATAGAATCCGAATTTGATCTACGGCAGGGACGCGTTTGATATACCAAGAATATATTGCTCAAATTGCTAACAATGTATTACTCAAATTGTTTCATGGATGAATCCATGACTCTATTGGATTGTCTTTCGATCTTTCATCTTTCCTTTTGCATTGGAAATAAAAGAAAAAATCGTATATAAATATTAAAGTTTTCATAAAAATTTCAGATAAATATATTAACTATAAAATTTACATATAAATCTTTGAATTTTTCAAATATCCTACATAAATATTTATACCCTTTGAAAATTTCTCAAATTAACTCAAAGTTTAGATATTTACCAAATAAAAGTAATCAATATCGTTAACGAATTTGGATTTATTTGTAAAATTTTTAAAAATCAAGATATTTATATAATATTTTTAAAAAATTCAGATATTTTTGTGAAAGTTTTATTGTATTTATCTAAAATTTTTATAAAAATTTAGATATTTGTATGTGATTTTACCTACATCAAAACAAACGCTATTGCCCTTTTCGTTATTGATCCTGCAATGACTATAAAATACATGTATGTAACCCAAGTTTGGGTGGTCTAGTGGTGAGAGAACATGCAAAGCATGCTTTCATCCTGTGTTCAAACCCAAACGTGGGGAGGGGCATTCACATGGGATTCTTGATAACACGATTTTCTCATCTATTTCAAAGCCCATTGTGTAGCACTTTCGCATCGGTTGTATGAATTATTAGACATTTAGGATCATTTTAGCACTGGGTTTTGCTTCTTCTGCATTCTCTGGTGATTGAACAGGTGATGGACGCACTATGGATGTAAAAGGAGCATAATCGAGGACTTCGGAGCATACGGGACCGGAACAGAACGATCAAGACATTTCTAGCTCGAGTTGCGCCTGAACACGGCCGAGTCGAGTTTAAACACGGTCGTGCAAAAGCGAGGAAACGAAGACATTCTTACAGACAATTGACACGGACCGTGTCGAGTCAAACACGGCCGTGTCGAGACGCAACTCG